AAGGCAGATATTTACTGCTTTTTACTCATGTTTGCCTGCAGAGCCAGCACAGCTCAATGAGAGGAAACTGGAGTCTATTCCTTCTTGTGCACCATCAACAGCATGGGGAGGAGGTAACCAGTCCTCTGTGGAGAAAGAAATGGTTCGGGACTATTTAGAAAAGCTGGACGTGCACAAGTCCATGGGGCCGGATGCGTTGCATCCGAAACTGCTAAAGGAGTTGGCGGATGTGATTGCAGAGCCATTGGCCATGCTGATTGGGGGAAGTCCTGGACAACTGGAAAAAGGCTAATGTAGTGTCCATCTTTAAAAAAGGGAAGAAGGAGGATCCTGGGAACTACAGGCCAGTCAGCCTCACCTCAGTCCCTGGAAAAATCATGGAGCGGGTCCTCAAGGAATCAATTCTGAAGCACTTAGAGGAGAGGAAAGTGATCAGGAACAGTCAGCATCATGGATTCACCAAGAGCAAGTCATGCTTGACTAATCTAATTGCCTTCTATGATGAGATAACTGGTTCTGTGGATGAAGGGAAAACAGTGGACGTGTTGTTCCTTGACTTTAGCAAAGCTTTTGACACCGTCTCCCACAGTATTCTTGCCAGCAAGTTAAAGAAGTATGGGCTGGATGACTGGACTATAAGGTGGATAGAAAGCTGGCTAAATTGTCGGGCTCAACGGGTAGTGATCAATGGCTCCACGTCTAGTTGGCAGCCGATATCAAGTGGAATGCCCCAAGGGTCGGTCCTGGGGCCGGTTTTGTTCAATATCTTCATTAATGATCTGGAGGATGGTGTGGATTGCACCCTCAGCAAGTTTGCAGATGACACTAAACTGGGAGGAGAGGTAGATACGCTGGAGGGTAGGGATAGGATACAGAGGGCCCTAGACAAATTGGAGGATTGGGCCAAAAGAAATCTGATGAGGTTCAACAAGGACAAGTGCAGAGTCCTGCACTGAGGACGGAAGAATCCAAGGCACCGCTACAGACTAGGGACCGAATGGCTAGGCAGCAGTTCTGCAGAAAAGAACCTAGGGGTTACAGTGGACGAGAAGCTGGATATAAGTCAACAGTGTGCCCTTGTAGCCAAGAAGACCAATGGCATTTTGGGATGTATAAGTAGGGGCATTGCCAACAGATCGAGGAACGTGATCGTTCCCCTCTATTCGACAATGGTGTGGCCTCATCTGGAGTACTGTGTCCAGTTTTGGGCCCCACACTACAAGAAGGATGTGGAAAAATTGGAAAGAGTCCAGCAGAGGGCAACAAAAATGATTAGGGGACTGGAACACATGACTTATGAGGAGAGGCTGAGGGAACTGGGGATGTTTAGTCTACGGAAGAGAAGAATGAGGGGGGATTTGATAGCTGCTTTCAACTACCTGAAAGGGGGTTCCAAAGAGGATGGCTCTAGACTGTTCTCAGTGGTAGCAGATGACAGAACAAGGTGAAATGGTCTCAAGTTGCAGTGAGGGAGATTTAGATTGGATATTAGGAAAAACTTTTTCACTAGGAGGGTGGTGAAACACTGGAATGCGTTACCTAGGGAGGTGGTGGAATCTCCTTCCTGAGAAGTTTTTAAGGTCAGGCTTGACAAAGCCCTGGCTGGGATGATTTAATTGGGGATCGGTCCTGCTTTGAGCAGGGGGTTGGACTAGATGACCTCCTGAGGTCCCTTCCAACCCTGATATTCTATGATTCTATGAACAGAATTATTCATTAAGTTCCACCTGAGCAAACTCATTGAAGGCAAAAGGGCTGCACAGGTGACAGGGCAGAATTTAGCCTGCAGACCCCTTACTTGTGGTGCTGATGTCTGAGCTGGAAAGAGCTCAGCTTGACTCTCAGAGCCCAGGCATCAGAAATAAACATATTTTTACCTGTAAACTGAGCCCATTGGATCTGGAGTCACTGAGAGCCAATAAACAAGAAGCCCCATGATGCCATTTACAAGGAATCATTTTTCAGAGTAGAATTGTTTTCTTGAAACACTTGTTCCCTTGAAAAGATTTTTGGAAAATTGGTAAATGCACAGTGTTAGGGTTCCTTCCCCACTCTGAACTCTGGGGTACAGATGTGGGGACCCGCATGCAAGACCCCCTAAGCTTATTTTTCCCAGCTTAGGTTAAAAACTTTCCCAAGGCACAAATTCCACCTTGTCCTTGAACAGTATGCTGTCACCACCAAGTGATTAAACAAAGAATCAGGGAAGAGACCACTTGGAGATGTCTTCCCCCAAAATATCCCCCCAAGCCCTACACACATAAGGGCTGCTCCATAGACTCTGGCACTAGACTTCACTGCCCTGACCCTAGGGGCATAAACCGTCACACTCTGGTATAACCAATTGGATTGAGACATTCTGAAAAACAATGCTGTAGGAAACAAAGGATATGTAGTACACAGGTGTAAATCAGGAATAAATGCTGAAGTCAAAGCAGATATACTGATCTCACTGAGGAGAACTGGGCCCAGAGATTGAACAGTTGCACATACATACAGTGCAAGTGGAGATTCAACAACTGGATTTTTAAAAATTTTCTGGGTGCAGCAAAATTGTAGGGGAAAGTCACTCATTTGGGGCCCAATTCTGCAAGGTGTTGACCGCCTCCTGAGAGCTGTTGAGTGTTCCCAACTGCTATGGAAGTGCATGGGAATTGAGGGTGTTCACCAGCTCTCAGGATCAGACCATGGAGGTGACCTACAAAATGACACCAATGTAACTGGCCCTTTTAAGAGCAAACTGAAAATCAGGCCTCACTAGCATGTATCCTCACTTTAAAATGGAACCTCCACCCATTGAATTCCTTGTCAAACCGCCCATTGACTTTGGAAGGAGTTAGGGTCAAACCCTTTGACTACTTCATCCAGGCTTGCTCATTTATAAAAAGTAGATATAGTAGAAATAAAACAGGCTTGGAGAAGGGCAACAAAAATGAGAGATGTTTGCATGTGCATATATATGTCAGGAGGGATTTAAAGAAGTCAGGATTAACAGATTAAAAAGAGCAAAAGTGTAAAATGCCACTGGCAATGAAAAGAAAACAGTGAAAATGGTGGTGGTGGGGGGGAAGGAAATAAAATTTTAATGTAATGTACTGAAGGAACTCAAAGTAGGAGAGGCAATTAATTTAGGAAGAGTCAAAATTTCTTTAAACCTAGAAAGAACAGCACTTGCAGTTAAATTAGCTAGGATAACAATTACAAGGCCACCAGTTCTTATGCTTCTCGGCATATATTGACCATCATCAGTGGTCAGGAAGAAATGTGCAGCTATGGTATTGCATGGAAAGAAAGGTGATAAGCTGAGACTGTGAGGATCCATGTAAAGTGCACAAAATGATCTCTTGCACTGGAGTATTCTGGGCTGCTAGAGCTGTGATGCTGCAGACTGGGCTATCTGGCCATGCTCAATAAAACTGCAATAGTCTCTGCTCTGAGAACCTGTGTCTCGTCTACTAACCAAGATAAAGACACAAAACGCTTTGGCTTTGGCTTCCTGGAGTAGCCTTCTTTATCTTTAGAAACTACATCCCGCCTTCTCTCACTCTGTGCTTCCTCCAGCTGGCCTCATAAAACCTCATATTTGCTAATGATATGTGTGACGCATGGATAGAAAGGGTTAAACAGCTTGCAGGCTGAATGACTTAGTTGTGTTAGAAAGGTGTGCAAATGATAATTAGGGCCATAAATAGGCTAGAACTTTGAAATGCAAACCTATATTGTTAGAAGTAATACTAATTGTGTGTATCTTAGATGGTACCCATAAACAGACAGTTCCTGTCTGTCACTGTAACTACTGATTCAGAGATCAAAAGGGAATATTAACATTTGGATGAATCTTGGGTAAAATAATGTCATTGTCTATATGTCATTGTCATTTTGAAGTTTGTGATAATGGATAAATTTCTCTTTGTTAATTTGTGTAACTAATTACTGGTGTTTAGAAAGCAAAAGGTTACATCAAAAGCCTGTTTACCCAGGATGCTAGAACACTGTATAAAAAGACCCGTGGGTCCTGATCCTGTTAATCTCAGATCTGCTTAAACTTCATCTTTGAGTCACAAGACTGAGGTCCCAGTTATGCTGGTATGACCTTAATATGATATTTGGACATTGGATTATAACCTATGAACTGAATTCTAAAGGAGCTCTTTGAAACTACAAAGCTCACCATTTCTGCTGTTTTCAGAGTAACAGCCGTGTTAGTCTGTATTCGCAAAAAGAAAAGGAGTACTTGTGGCACCTTAGAGACTAACCAATTTATCTGAGCATAAGCTTTTGTGAGCTACAGCTCACTTCATCGGATGCATACTGTGGAAAGTGTAGAAGATTTCTGCTGTGAATCTGAACCTCGGTGAATTGAACTCACATCTGTACGTATATTGATCTTTTAACCATTCTCTTGCTTGTTTGTTTTTTAATTTTTAGTTTAGTTAATAAGAATTGGTTGTAGCATGTATTTGGGTAAGATCTGAAACATGCATTAACCTGGGAGGTAATATGTCCGATCCTTTGGGATTGGTAGAACCTTTTCTTTAATTTGATGAAACAAGATTTTTCAGAAATCATCATGTTTGACTTAGGTACCTCGATGGAGGCCTGAGACTGGGTCACTTTAAGAGAACTGTGTTTGGACTTTGGAGTAACCAGTGAGGTAATAAAGAAGCTGTTTTATGTTGGCTTGGTAAATCTAAGTATTGGAATATCCACCAGCTTTTTGGGGATCGTCTGCCCCATTCTTTGCAGTCCACCCTAATTGAGTGACCACAGCTGGCCCCCACTAGGATCCCGGTCACAGTATCTATAGGTCTATAGGAATCTAATGGCTGCTGAGGGAATTAACCCATGATTAGAGTTGGTCAAAACTTATCCAACAGAATTTTTTCTATTTGAAAATGCTATTTTGTCAAAATTGAAACTTCCAGTGGAAACATGTCAGTTTGGACAAAATTTCATTTTAATAAAATGTAAAAGCATTTTTACAATGAAATGTTCTGACTTTTTAACTTAGAATAGTGTTTTGTATCAAAATTTTTTTCTCTTAAAAGTCAAAATTTGAATGAAACTTTGATTTTTATTGAAATGAAACATCTAGTTGTGTTCTGTGGAAAATTCTGATTTAGAATGAAAACAAATTTTTCACAGAGCAGAAATTCTAGTCCCTGTGCAGCTCTACTAATCTAGGGTCCCATGACTCAAAGCAAAATGGTTTAGTCATATTCCATTCCGTAATCATACTGAGATACCCAGACTTCCCGACCCGCTGCTATAGTGAAACTGGGGACCAAGAGGTGAAAAGCTCCATATCCCATCCCCTGACTGTTCTGAGCTTCCAGTCCCCCCAGGAGCCTTGACTGTGATCTTAATTCTGTTTCTGGGAGACAAGCAGCAGGTGGGTCCCAAGATGAATGGATACAAACACAGCCATGACGATCAACAGACGGAAAATCCAGGAGCTCCAAAAGAAGAAGACATGGTGGCGGGATGAACCAACTGACAAATTCTCTGGGGAAACAGGAAGCAGGACAGGACTCAGCAGGACAAATCCAAGGGCCATCAGTTAGCGTTCCATGCAAACTAACACAGACTAAATAATTTCACTTTGAAAACTCCATCTAAGAAAGCAGGGACAGGGTGGAAGCAAGCATAAACTAACCCAAAACTCTCACTCCAAAAACTTGAACCTTTCACCCCAAATTTCAACTACCCCCATAATTCTTCTCACTCAACTCAAAATTTGCATCCAAAAATTCAGCCCTGGCAAACCTTCAGCCCTCACTCCTTTAAAACTCCCTCCTCCTCATGCTTCACACAAAGAACCCAAACCACAGGGTTTCCAGGGCTGTGAAGAGCCAGATTAGAGCCATTCTCCCAATCCCACAACTCCTGCCTCGCCCCACCCCCAGCTCTCAGATCCCTTCTCCAAAGACTCCCTTCTCCCAGGCTTACTCTGCTACCCTACAGTCCTCCATAGAGTCATAGAGGACCACCAGATCATCTTGTCTGTCCATTTGTAGATCACAGACCACCAGCACCACTCAGCACCTACACACTAAATCCATAGGCTTTCTGCCACTGGTGGGAGGCAGGAAGGAGAGAGACATGCCCCCCACAAGGGTTTACTATCCTGGTGATGTTCCCCTCCTCATGGCTAATGGACTCAGGAAATCATTCCCACTTTCTCCCCATCACCAGTTACCCTCTGCAAGCCCACTTTGCCTTGGACTGGGGAGAATAAGGGGTTCCTCAACCACAGGGATCAGGGGTGGGATCAAGACAAGACCTTGAGTCATACCTGGGTCTGAGCAGACCACCACCACGGCATTCACATCAGCGTGGAGCTTCCTCTCTGACAGCCATGAGCTGCACTGAGAGATGTGGTCTGCAGGGCCACAGAGTAGGCCATGGAGTGCCAATGAGTGGCCTGATGCTGGCATAGATGATGTCTCCAGAGGTGATCCACAGCCCAGACTGCCACAGAGGATGGAGAAGGATGCGGTGTTCCAGCCCAGGCTGCACACAGTGCCCCACCTGCCATGGAGAAATACCTCTACACGCCCTGCACAGGGGCCTTGGTCACCTACCAGGCGCACACCAGAGATATCTGCAGGAGAAAGGGCAAGGTTGGGGAGAAGTACTGCAGATTGAGACTGGCTCTGTGTCGGAGAGATTTTGTTCAGTACCACAGCAGAATGTGGCCTCCAGCCACACAGGACCAGAGCCTGGTCCAAAGCTGAACCATGGAGATTCCAATGCAGATCCACACCCCAGCTGTTTGCACACCACCGCAGAGTCATGAGCATCCCAGTGCTTATCACACACTGTGCCCCAGGTGGCTTCATGCAGTACCTCCAACCACCCAGTGCAGGGGTTGTCTCCACCTACCAGTCGCACACTAGAAATATCTATGGGAAGAGAATCAATGAGAGGAGTCAATGTACTCCTTTCCAAGGGCTGAAATTCTCTCACACTCTCCAATGCACCAGTGACCTGTCAGTTTGTATATAGGTAACCTGAACTGAAGTAGTTCTCAGGGCTGGTAGCCACCTTTCCTTATTCCCTTACTGTCTTCTGCCACTATGTGATCACTTGGTGTCTTGCACTCCCATCCTTTTAAGCTCACACACATCTCAAACTATTGCACCATGCTCCAGTGGCTAGGGCACAAAACTGGTGGACAGGAGACCTCACTTCCATTCCGAGCACTGTGTGATTTTGGGCAAATCACTTAACCTCTCTGTGCATCTGGAAAATGGGGATAATTATGTTTATCCACTACTGTAAAATGTTTTGAAATTAAGTAAAAAAATCTCCTGTATAGGTATGAAGTACGGCTGTCAATTAATTGCAGTAAACTCACACAATTAACTACAAAAAATTAATCAGGATTAATCAGTTTTAATCACACTGTTAAACAATAGAATACCAATTGAAATGCATTAAATATTTTGGCTGTTTTTCTACATTTTTGTATGTACTGTATTCTGTGTTGTAATTGAAATCAAAGTGTATATTTTTGATGAAATATTTGCACTGTAAAAATAATAAAATATTTTTTTTCAATTCATCTCATACAAGTAATGTCATGAAAGTGCAATTTACAAATGCAGATTTTTTTTGTTACATAACTGCACCAAAACCAAAACAACGTACAATTTTAGAGCCTGGAAGTCCACTCAGTCCTACTTCTTGTTCAGCCAATCGCGCAGTCAAAGAAGTTTGTTTACATTTACAGGCGATAATGCTGCCTGCTTCTTACTTACAATGTCTCCAGAAAGTGAGAACAGGAATTTGCATGGCACTTTTGTAGGTATTTACATGCCAGATATGCTAAACATTTGTATGCCCCTTCATGCATCAGCCACCATTCCAGAGGACATGCTTCCATGCTGATGATGCACATTTAAAAAAAATATGTATTAATTAAATTCGTGACACAATTCTCCCCCAAGGAGTCTTGGCTGAACAAGAAGTAGGACTGAGTGGACTTGCAGGCTCTAAGAGTGTACATTGTTTTATTTTTGAATGTAGTTTTTTTTACATAATTCTACATTTGTAAGTTCAACTTTAATGACACAGACACTACTTGTATTAGGTGAATTGAAAAATACAATTCATTTTGCTTGTTTACAGAGCAAATACTTGTAACCAAAAATAAATATAAAGCACTGTACACTTTGTATTCTGTGTTGTAATTGAAATCAATATATGTGAAAATGTAGAAAACATCAACAAATATTTAAATGGTATTCTGTTATTGTTTAACAGTGTGACTAATCATGCAATATTTTTTTAATCACTTGACAGCCCTCGTGCAAAGTATTATTAATTATTATGTGACCAGTATGCAAGGTTAAATGTGGTAGTAAGAGCCTAATATGCAGAGAGAGATCTCTCCCACAGATCAGTGAGATGAAAAGAAGAGCATGCCTAGGGAGGTTGTAGACTCTCCATCATTGGGGATTTTTAAGAGCAGGTTGGACAAACACCTGTCAGGGATGGTCTAGATAATACTTAGTCCTGCCTTGAGTTCAGGGGACTGGACTAGATGACCTCTTGAGGTCCCTTCCAGTTCTATGATTCTGTGATTCTAATGGATTCCATTTCATTCACCTTGAGTTTACAGCTTCAGAATTAGGAGTCAGACACAATCTGCCAGCAGTTGTCTGGGAAAACATGGCCAGAGAGTAGGGGTTGGCGATTACTGTCTGATTTAAAAGCCACTAAAAGTTAGAGAAACAAGACGAGCTTAAAATTGTAAATGTGATATAATCCATCACATTGTCTTCTCTATAAGAGGAAAGGCAACAAAAACCTCAAATCCGAATTATTATTAATGATGTGGCCATTTTAAGAAGTAACAAATAGAGTCTTTCCAAAATAATAATATCCTAAAAAAATTCTTTCCAATTTTCCACAGTTTCTGGACCCCTGCACATTCCCTACTATTTAAAGGTCAAAATATCAAAAGCAATTAGAACTGAGTGAATAAGGAAGCATAAGCTTAGTGAATGCATCTTTGTTTTCAATAAAAAGCTTAATAGGGCAGTTCAGTGTTCACACTGGAGTATGTCCAGTACAGTTGATTGTGAAATGTTTTTTCCCTATGAACTTTTTTATTACATTTTTTTTTAATTTGCTACAAAAATTTTTGAGTTCTCAACAAAATTTCCAAAACTGACATTTTCTTGATTTTCAGCAATCAGAGTTGATTTAAGATTAACTAATATAAACTACTATTAAACTGAAATAAGAGCCCTTTGCACTGGTTTATCTAAATTATATGTTAAGTTAAACCCAGGGATCTTTCTCATGCAGACAAGGCCACTGTCTTCCAAACTGACACATTTCCCACCCAATGTGAATTTTTCATGCTAAAATTATAACTTCCCCACCTTTCTGAAAGGAAACCAGAGAAGTCAACATGCTTCCCTAGCAAGCACAGTGCCATCTGCATTCAATGTAACTGGCTGATCAGAGCTGCAGACTCACCCTCTGCCATGAGGTCCCCGTCAGAGAGAAGGCAGAGTAGGAGGAATCTCAAGGTGGATATCATTATCCAAATTAATTCTTCACGGTGCCCCAGGAGAGGAGATGTGTGAGCAGGTGACTCCGGACCACAGTTAGTGCGGCTTATGTCACCACTGCAGAGTGCGAGTGCTGGACAATCTCTTGACTTCCTGCCATTCAGCTCTGTAGTCACCCCCAATGTAGTGGCTTGTGACCACAGCCAATGTCTCATGCAAAGTGTTGGCTGTGGGAAGTAACTTGACTTACTGTTATCTGGCTCTGTGGTCTGGCTCTTCAGCCTGGGGTCCTTAGGCTGCTCTCAGAGTTACAGAGACCTTGGAAACTTAGCCATAGAAGTTACTACTACTAATTATAATAACTGGTGTTTCTATAGCACCTCTGAACCTCAAAGAACTTTACAGGCATTATTGAATTTACCTTGAATGGGGCCTGATTCTGCCCTCACACTGTTGGAAATCAGGAGTGACACATGGGCATTACACTGGTGTAAAATTAGTAGCCTCCATGCTTTCATAGAATCATAGAATATCAGGGTTGGAAGGGACCTCAGGAGGTCATCTAGTCCAACCCCCTGCTCAAAAGCAGGACCAATCCCCAATTAATCCCCAATTGGAAGCAGGGATTTGAAATTAGGTAGCAGGAAAGGGGTCAATATAGTGAAAAGGATTTGCTTTTTGCTAGCCCTGTGAAAATCCACCCAAATTAAACACTTCTGGAAACCATCATTTGCACATGTGGTTTCTTAGGGTATATCTACACAGCTTACAGAAGCGAGCCTCGCAGCCTGGGTTGACTGACTTGGGCTAGCAGGGCTCATGCTAGTGCTCTGAAAATAGCTTTGTAGAGAGCACTTTGAAGTTGTGAGTTGGGCTGTGGCTCAGGCACTGAAGCCTAGGAACAGGGGTTTGGCTTCAGAGCCCAAACTCCAACCTGGCCTGCAACTTCAAAGCATTGTCTACACAGCTATTTTTAGAGAGTTAGTGCGAACCCCATCAGCCCAAGTCTGTCATCCTGGGCTGGGAGGCTCACTCCTGCTGGGTAGAGGCTGACAGCATTCTGGCGCAAAACTTCTTTTACCCTTCTTCCTCACCAGAGCTCACTGAGCATGCTTTAGCCTGGGGCCGAGCAGGACTTTTCCTGTAATTGGTCCTTGTGGCTGCTGTGGGGCTAGATGCGGGGATGGAGACTAGGGATCCTGTCTCCGCTGTGCACTCAGTGACTCCCTTCTGGCACCTTGGCAGCGAGGAAGAGAAGGAGGAAAGAACATGATTGAAATGCAGAGGGATTGGCAACGGGGGGGGGGGGGGGAAGGGGAGTAGAGGGAGACCAAGTCAGAGGTAGGGGGGATAGAAGCAAGGACAGCAGAGGCAGAAGGAGGCATATGTCTCTTCCTGTAAATGGCTCATCACATTGTTATTTTGCTGTGTTAATGGACCCCCCCCCACACACACACACAAAATGTGTCTGTGAAACCTATTTGGCTGATTTTCCTTTATCTCATCCCTGCTGCCGGTCGAAATTTATTCATCAAAATTTTTTTGGTCAAAAACAGCTTTTCAACAAAAAGGAAAATTTTACATTTTGAAGAATTGTGTTTTTGTCAGAATGTTTAGTGGAAAAAAGGCATTTCCCAACCAGCTCTACCCTGCTGCATGAGTAGGAAGACATCCCAGAGTGCATTGCTCCATATGGTGCTGGTGCTGTCCTCTGTGCACTCCCTGCTCACTACAGGATTGTACCCAGGTTGTCCCAGGGTACATTGACACATGCCCTTTTAGTCAGTGGGGTGCGTGTAGACACACAAATATCATTTACACATAGTTAAAGGTTAGAAAAGCTGCTGCTGTGTGGGTGCTGCTTGCTTGCATTTGCTATAAGCAGGTCAGATGAGAATGCCACAGCCTGGTTACAATGCACATCCATCCTTGTACTGCGGACCAGGCTATAATTTTGCATTCCTTTATAACAGAATTCTGAAGGATTCTAGAGACTGAACTGTGGAAGAATTTCTGGTCTGTTTATGGTTCTGGAGCTCTGCCAGCTCAGAACTGCAGAGACAGCCTGATGTCTTCAATTACTGATTGCATTTTCTACTTGAGCTGGAGAACTCCCCCCTGCAGCCTTCACACTCACTGAAAGGCATCTCACTCAGCTGGCCCGTGCTTGCCAGGGACAGATCTGCTAGGCCGGAAGAATCCCATGCACTGATACAGGCTGGGGACCAACTGGCTAAGTGGCAGTTCTGCCGAAAAGGACCTGGGGATTACAGTAGACAAGAAGCTGGATATGAGACAACAGTGTGCCCCAGTTGCCAAGAAGGCTAACGGCATATTGGGCTGCATTAGTAGGAGCACTGCCAGCAGATCAAGGGAAGTGATTATTCCCCTCTATTCGGCACTGGTGAGGCCACATCTGGAGTATTGTGTCCAATTCTGGGCCCCCTACTCCAGAAGGGATGTGGAGAAATTGGAGAGAGTCCAGCGGAGGGCAACAAAAATGATCAGGGGGCTAGGTCACATGACTTACGAGGAGAGGCTGAGGGAACTGGGGTTACTTAGTCTGCAGAAGAGAAGAGTGAGGGAGGATTTCATAGCAGCCTTCAACTACCTGAAGGGGGGTTCGAAAGAGGATGGAGCTAGGCTGTTCAAAGTGGTGGCAGATGACAGAACAAGGAGTAATGGCCTCAAGTTGCAGTGGGGGAGGTCTAGGTTTGTTGGATATTTGGAAAAACTATTTCACAGGACAGTGGTGAAGCACTGGAATGGGTTACCTAGGGAGGTGGTAGAATCTCCATCCTTAGGGGTTTTTAAGTCCTGGCTTGACAAACTCCTGGCTGGGATGATTTATTTGGGGTTGGTCCTGCTTTCAGCAGGGTGTTGGACTAGATGACCTCCTGAGGTCCCTTCCAACCCTGATATTCTATGATTCTATGCTAGACCTAAAGAGTATTCCTCCATGAACTGTTCTTCCTCCTGTAAGCAGAGTCTGAATGAGCTCTCCCCTGACATCTAGTGACGCTCTGGGGGAAAAGACTTCAGTAGCAGACTCTGTTTTCATAGACGTGCCTGGTGCAGCATGATGCTTTGCCAAAATGATCAATTTTGGCTGGTTTTGGATTACAAATCACTCTAGTATTTGAATGCAGGGGTAAGGAAATGTTGTCATGCTTACTGTCTGAGTTAAAGGGCAGCAGAACTGTGCTTGGCCTGCCCTGATTGAGGGGGTTATCCTGAACTGAACCTCACTTGCTAAGCAAAGAGAAGGGATGCCAAATTCCAGGGAAGCTGAGAGTGGGTGGGACAGGTGTTCCTCGTGGTGGATTGGTCTCTACCTAAAGAGTCCTAGACACTCTTTGACCTGCCCCTTTCTAGTGGTTAATGGCAGAGCTAATTAGACTCAATTAAAAGCCATTGTTTCTTGTTGGTGATTCCTAGTGCTGACATCACTGCTGAATGGGTCTAAAAGCTAATCCTTAGCTCTTGCCTGGAAACAGTGAAAGAAAACACAGAGACTTCACTGGCTGTGAGGTTCCTCATTCCCTGCTGAATTTACTAAGAGCCATGTTAAGGGGTGGAACCTCAGCCGGTGACATCGCAGAAGCAGCAAACAGTGGTGACCAGTGGCAGCAGAGTGGCAGTGGCTAGCAGTGGTATAGAGACAGTGGCAGCTGTGAGCCAGTTGCAGAGGCAGCAGCAGAGGCATTGTTTGATTCCCCCTCCCCGCAGGGGTGGGAGGTGAACCCCTGTGAACACAGCTCTGAACTCTGGGTCTTTGCCAACCAAGTACAGCAACTGTGAGTGGGGTGCAGCAGAAGGAGAGGGGAGTGATGTGTTAAATCATTTGTTGGACTTTCACACACAAGATTGGAAACTGAGGCAAAGGACCCAGCCCAACATACTGTGCAGTCAGGTTTGCTTATGGTCACATGCTTTTGAATGTGGTTGTGGCATTTTCCCAAACTAATGCTGGATTCCCTTTCCCTTCTAATAAAAGTTCTCATTTGTTGACACAGACTCAGTGCTTGGGAGTGGGGAAGTATTGCCTCTTAGAGGTGCCCATGGGTGGTGTGACATTTTCCCAGACCACTGGGTGGGGGCTTGAGCTAGTTCTGTATTGTATTATTAAGAGGAACCCCTAGATATTGAACCTGGCCCTTGTTGCTGCTGACTCCACCTGGTAGAAGGTTATACTCTTGCATGCATGGGGTGGGGCTGGGGTTTGCAGGACTGGTTTGAGTAGATATATATGGAGATGGGGCCACATCATGACCCTTCCAGCTCAGGGGAGGTTAGTCAGAAAAATTAATCTAGACTGGGGTAATCTCAGCTCTTTTGGAATTGCACTACAGGGGCTCCTCCTCCTACATCTTTCTACAACTCTCCGCAGAGGCAGCCTCAGACATGGGAGGTCATGGGAATGCAGTTCCAATGGAGTTGTGATGCCAGGAACTGAGGAGGGAGGAACCAGGGGACCTTGAGTCAGTACAAAGAAACATAGATGTTGTGACTGGGGTCCTGGGGGGCCACTCTGAGATTGGCAATCAGGGCAAACTACAAAGAATGGGGCAGACAATCCCCCAAACTGGTGGTTATTCTAATACTCAGATTCACCAAACTAGTAACAAAACAGTTTCCACAATACCTTACTGGTTACCCAGAAGCCAGAACTACAGTTCCCTTAAAGCAGGGGTTCTCAAACTGGGGGTCAAGACCCCTGAGGGGGTCGTGAGGTTATTACATGGCGGGTCACGAGCTGTCAACATCCACCCCAAATTCCACTTTGCCTCCAGAATTTATAATGGTGTTAAATATATAAAAAAGTGTTTTTAATTGATAAGGGGGGTCACACTCAGAGACTTGCTATGTGAAAGGATTCAGTGTAGCAGCCGTGTTAGTCTGTATTCGCAAAAAGAAAAGGAGTACTCGTGGCACCTTAGAGACTAACCAATTTATCTGAGCATAAGCTTTTGTGAGCTACAGCTCACTTCATCGGAAGTTTGAGAGCCATTGCTCTCAAATCAAATATTGATGAGGGGATTACTGAAAATCCTATTCATCATATTAAAAAGTTCTACCAATCTCAAAGGATCAGACACATTACCCACCATAAATACACACTTACAGCCAATTCTTATTAACTAAACTAAAATTCATTAAAAAAGAAAAGAGAGAGAAAGCATTGGTTAAAAAATCATTATACATACAGATGTGAATAGAATTGTTAGGTCAGTTTCAT